TACATTGCCTTGCTCTACTTACAACACAACACAATACTTAACCTACTTACAATACACTACATTATTGCTAATATTGTTATTATTGTTATTATTATTATTATGATGATTTCTAATGCTTTAACTGTCTTACAAATGTCACTTACAATTAGGGGTGTAACTATTCATATTCCTTGCGATTTGATTCAATTTCGATTATTGCCTTTCAATTTCGATTATCTCGATTTGATTATGCAAAATATTAAAATGTTTTTTAATTCTTACAACGTAATACATGATGTAAACAACCTACAACCCTAGACCCACATGGTTTGCCTTATTTGGAAATTCTCAAGAGGTGTTAGAAGGGCAGCATTCTTACCATGTAACACAAATTGGCACACGAACTCCAAACGTCTTTACTCATCAATCAAAAACGCACATTTTAAAGAGTTCTGGATTCTGATTTCACATTATAATAACTCACTGAGGGCACTCTGAGAAAGGTATGCAAAAAATTGAGCCAAAATTGCAACATGGAATCAAAGAATCATGAATCAAACCAAACGGTCATAATCGCGATTAATCGAGAATTCAATTAATCGTTACACCACTACTTACAATACATCAACTAAAAAACAAACCTATTTACAATACTTGGCATTACCTTACTTACTTACAATACGCAATAATTACTTACTATGACTTACACATTACGTTACTTAAGGAGTTACAATACAATATAATTACTTAATTAAAGAAAGAAAAACAACAACAACAACAAACATACAAACAAACAAAAAACTCGCAACAAATTGCAAAGGGAAACGCCTTAAAATAATGGTGAGCAGGAATTTCCACTTCTGTTGAAATTCCCTTTCACCATTCAACGTGGCAGCAATATATTTTTCTATCTTGATTTTATCCTGCACTAATGAGATGAAGCAAGCCCTTTTTTGTAGTACCAATGGGTTCATCAGTCATATTACCTTGCTGTGACTGCTACATTGTGTATAATGAATGACCTTAGCCATATGATTATAATGGACATGGAAGCATTGACTAAATAATCGGCATAATTCATTAGACTTGTCTGGATTTTCTTGCTGCTCTTAGTGACTATGAAGCTAATAGTTTCTTTTAACCTAAATATCTTCAGAGTTTCTCCAGGAGGCAATGAAGATGACCCAGGTCAAACAGGTATGATTTGAAATTTTTTCTAATATTAATACACATGCACAGCATGTTAATGGTAAACATCAAGCAAATTCCTTTTGGTCATCCACTAGGAATCAATAGGGAGCTTAAGCAAGCCATGATAGCAATGCCAATGAGAACTTTGCCAAACAAAAGGTTTAATGAGAAGAACAATGGCTGTATTTATGCCTTATAAAGTACATTTCGTAGCC